CCATCCACCCCCTCCCCATAAATGATGCCACCACCTACCAATTGCCCAAACAAGAAACCTCACCTCTTCATTCAAAGAATATTTATCGAGCTCCTCTCTTTGTTCCTTTGCTGGGGATACAGTGGATTGGAAAACAGGCACAGTCCCCGTAGCAGAGAACTTACAGGCTGGCGGATGTCTTTCTCATTACCCACCTCTCTCTTACACCAGACATGCCAATAAGTGCTATTGGTTGTACTGATTATACCTTCTAAATTGCTCTCAGCTCTATCCTTTCCTGTCCACCCCCACCACCAAACTGCCCTAGTGCAGGCTTTTGTCATTTCCTGCCTGGATTGCTATGAGAGCTTCCTAACCAGGGTCTCTGGCCCCAGCCTTGATCTTAGGTCCCACCCAAGCTTAGAACCCTTCAGTGGCTCCTCAGAGGCTTTAGGATATAATCTCAACCTCCCGAAAAGTCTGCTTCATGCTCCTGCTCTTTGCCTCCCTTTGTCCCCGCACATCCCATACTCCCCCATGCACACCCCACACTTTTCCTCGCCTTTGTGCCTTTACATTGCCTCTCCCCGTGCTAGAATGTGCTTGCCCCTTCTTTTTTTTTTTTTTTGTGAGGAAGATCAGCCCTGAGGTAACATCCATGCTAATCCTCTTTTTGCTGAAGAAGACCGGCTCTGAACTAACATCTATTGCCAATCCTCCTCCTTTTTTTTTTTTCCCCAAAGCCCCAGCAGACAGTTGTATGTCATAGTTGCACATCCTTCTAGTTGCTGTACGTGGGACACGGCCTCAGCATGGCCGGAGAAGTGGTGCGTCGGGGCACGCCTGGGATCCAAACCCGGGCCGCCAGTAGCGGAGCGCACGCACTTAACTGCTAAGCCACCGGCCTGGCCCCTGCTTGCCCCTTCTTCATTCACCAGATATTTACTGAGTACCTAGCAGATGCCAGGCACTGTTCTAGGTGCCGGAGACTTGGCAAGTGAGCAAAGCAGAGTCTTTACTCTCGTGATGTTTACATTCTAGAGGGAAAGATACACAATAAACAAGTAAGTAATTAACGTGAGGTGGTGATGAGTGCTCTAAAGAAGAATCAGACAGGCTAGGAGGCTGAGACTGACCCTTTTCGAGGGGTTAGGTAAGGTAACATTCGTGCAAACACACAAACAGAGTGAGGGAATAAGTTCTAAGGGCATCTGGGGAAAGAGCCTTCCCAGCAGAAGGAACAATAAGTACAAAACCCCTGAAGTAGGAACGTGCCAGGCAAATTGGAGGAAAAGCAAGAAGGCCAGTTTAACTGGAGCAGAGAGAGGTCTGAGATGAGTCACAGAAGTCAGATGGAACGGGCCTCACGGGCCATGGTAGGTGAGTGCTTCACCCACCCCTGACTCCTCCTCACCCTTCAGTGTTGAGTGCAGATATGGTCTCCTGAAGACATTGCACTCCATCTCCTCCTAGCACTTATCATATATGTTTGATTGACCACTTCTGCCTGTCTCCTCCACCACACTGCATTCCCTGCAGGCAGGGGCTCTACCTTTCAGCTCCATGTTTTATAGAACCCACTACATTCGGTAAATTTTTCTCGACTACTCAAAACTTTCTTCCTTCATTCTGATTCCATGCCCTGCAAACAATTCCCCAATTACTAGACTGCTTTCCCAGTGACTGCAGTACTAGGAAAGAGGTGCCTTGATAGTGAACACACACCACTGGTCATTAGAAATTACATATGTATGCTCACCATTGTACATTAATAGACTGGCATCATCATTTACACATCAGCTTCTGTTTTAGGTAAGTGTGACTCAGTGGGTGGGAAAATGAATGATTCTGGGTCAGGAAGACCCAAGGAAGGCATTGCTCACGGAAGGGCCACATGTGTAGCCCAGCAGAAACGCCAGATGTCCCCTCTACCTCATCACTCAGCTGACCTTCCCTATTATAGACGGCGGCCCCATCACCTCCCATCTGTCCAAGTTTGAATCCTTAGTATCATCTCTGAGAGCTCCCACACCCCATCATATCCAGAAGTCCTAGAAATTCCACCTTATAACTATTTCTTTATCCATCCCCTCATCTCCATTCCAAAGGCCCTGCCTACAGTGTAGGCCCTCACTACCCTTCACGTGGACTCGGGTTTCAGCTCCCTAAACCGGTCTTTCTACCTCTGTCTCTCACTCTTTCCAAAAATACTCTCCACATGGCCACGAGAGTTCTTCTTCCAAGCAAAGCTGATTTCACTTCCCCACTTAAAATCAATAGATTCCGTCTACTTTCAAGATAAAGTCTCACCTGTTTAGGCACCACATAAAACCCTCCTTGAGCTGGCCCTGGGCTACATTTCCAGTCTCCACCTCCTGGCCCCTCTCCCACCCCACATTCCAGCCATACCAACTACCTGGAATTCTCTGAACAGCCTGTTTGCCTTTTGGCACCTCCATACATTTTCACATGCAGTTCCCTCTGTGAGAAATGTCCTAGGATTTAGCTACGTATCTTTTCAAAATTCAGTTCAGACATCGTCCTCTCTGTAACATCTTCCTAAGCTCTCCTCCCCACAAGAAGAAAGTTGTCTTGCTTGCTCCTATGGTGCCTTTTTTACCACACTTATTACATTGCATGACAATTATTTGTTAACATGTCTGTCTCCCTCTCGGACTATGCGTTCTTGCATGGCAAGGGCCATACTTCATTCTTCTTTGCTTCCCAGCACTCACTAGAATATCTAGCTTAAGGGACTTTGTTCTCTATGTCCCTCTGAAGTTATTAAAGATAGATCTGGAAAAAGGTTCAGAAGGGCAATCAAGATTGTAAGAATTTAGGGACATATGATTCTTCCTTCCGTCATTGTTTAATGAGCACCCAGTACAAGTCAGATGCTGAGACCTGTGAGGACAGTCTGTCCAGATAATTCCTATGCAATAATATCTCATTTATCTAGCCATAACCACTCAGGAGAAAACCAAGCAGAAGGAAGAGGGGAAGGCCTGTAAGCAGTGAGAAAGATAGTAATTTTAAGCATAATAATCATCAGTATGTTACACCCAGAGTCATGATTTATGGTTTTCACTGAATCTCATTTCATTCTCCCAGGAGCCTGGAGGCTAACAGTCATGCACCTCGCCTAAGGTCACACAGTGATGAGATTGAACTCAACCATAAACACAAGCCTGGTGCACTTTTCACTCTACCAGAACTGTCTCAATATGCCATAAATCCATGCGCAAAACTCTATGTCTTTTATTCACTAGGGAGCCGTGCAGACTAATCATAACTGTGACTACTCTGCACGTATTCTTACAGGGGTGTGCATGCGCGTGTATGTGTACGTGGGTGTACAAGAGTTTGAGTATGTCTCTATTCCCAAATTAGAAGCAGCAAATTAAAAGGGGTGACTGATGGAGGTAGGCACAATGCCAGAATCAAAGAACGACAGCTGTCAGAGATGACACAGATTGAAATCAAGAAAAAATAAAACCCAATGAACTGAAGTCTGAGGCCACTGAGGAAGCAAACATTCATCCCCACCCAGTGGCCTGGGGAAGCCTCATAGTCATACAAGAATTGAGAAGTGCAATGGTAACCCCGAGTCACCAAAAGAAATGTCAAATTATGAAGGCAAGCAGACATATCATCGGTTTTAAAAAGCTTTCAACAAAGATGGTTAAAATAATAGAATTCTGGTGCTTAAAGAGATGCAGCCAACTTGGAAATTTTACTTAGATGGAATAATCCTTACTCTACAAAAGATATGTAACTATATATTCACATTTGCGGGGTGGGGGGGGGGGGGCCAAGACCAACAGATCCTAAAATTAGTTTCACTAGTAAGTCAACCTACCAGATCATCTGTAACTGATGCAAGAGAAACTACAGATCACATTTAAGACCTCAGGGGAAAACTCCCTTCTTGCAACACAAGGCAGTGCCTTCCACCTCTCCCTAACTGTTGCCATGCATGACAAACATCTCCACACAGACAAAGATGACTCCAAGCCATACACACGGACGCACAAAGCACAGGAGGACCCCACAGAGGACAGCTAGCTCTCTGCACAACAGTAAAAACAGGGAGGCTGGAAAGGAAGCTGAGGTGTAAAATGGGGCAGTGGAGAAACTGAAAGAACAGGGGATATGAGGCCAACTGGAGAGGGGTGACCCAGTGAGCAATTGCACTGGTACAAAATTCTTCCTGTGCCCCACTGCTGCTGCTGCTGGAGCAGCTGCCCCTGAACCTGACAGAATTTCTGAGCTTCTCCACAGCTCTGCAGTGGGAGGGCTCTCCGAGGTCCCAGGGTCTTCCAGGCTCTGAGGGCATTTTTCCAGAACAGAGCCACCTGAGGGATGGGGCTGTAGAGGATCAGCCTCTCAGTACCTCCAATGTGGCTGTACTGAATGTACAGATTTAAATATTTATGAGACCGAGAAAAAGTCAAGGTAGATTGAAATGACAGTTTTAAGAATCTAGCCCACAGAAAAACTCGTGCAAGGGCAAAAGGATATTCACTAGAGCATTATCGGTAAGACTAAAAAACTGGAACCAACTTAAATGGCCACTAACAGAGGATTGATTAGTTAAATAAACAACACATCCTTAAAATTAACATGGAATAACATGAAGCATTTTTTAAAAGTATATCTGTAAGTAGAAAAGAATTCTGGGGAAAAAGCAAACTGTAGAATTATATGTGTATTATGATCCCATTTTTGTAAAACATAGAACAGAACTCTGTCTCTTGAAGGAGCAAGAAAAAATCAGGAAGGGTGCGCAAACTGCTAATGGTGTTTACAGAGAGAAGTTGCAGGAAAGGTAAATTGCTTTTTTTTTTTTTTTTTTAAACTTTGGTATTGTTCGAATTTTCACACAAAGCACACATTAACAACAACAAAAAAGTGTTTGTCAGAGGCATTCCTTTCCATCTGCTTCTTAGTGGTTGACTGGACTCACATCCTGCCTCTGCCCTAGGGCTCCACCCCACACCTCCTGCCCCAGCCCCACTTACAGATGCAGGCAGCAGCCAGCAGGCGGCTGGCAGCATAGGGGGCGAAGCAGCTCGGGAAGAGGGGCTGCACCATGTAGTTGGCAAAGGTGATGGCAATCACGGCCTGGCTGGTGGGCTCGATGATGAGGAGGGAGGTCCAGAGTCGGATGAAGGCAAGGAGTCCCCCGAAGGCCTCAAGGATGTAGGCGTAGCTGGCCCCAGATTTCTTAATGGTGGTGCCCAGTTCCGCATAACAAAGGGCCCCAAAGACGGAGAAGAGGCCCCCGACAGCCCAGATGATTAGGGAGAGGCCAAAGGAGGCACTGTACATGAGCACGCCCTTGGGAGAAACAAAGATGCCCGAGCCAATCATGTTCCCCACAATCAGGCACACGCCGTTAAGCAGCGAGATCTCCTTCTTCAGCTTTACCTGCTCAGACCCTGGGCTGGCCTCCTCAGCTAAAGGGGAGGCATCTTTCTCATGCTGGGAGGCCACTTCATACTTAACACCGTCAACCATGGTGGAGGAGAAGAAAGACGTCACCAGCTTCCTGGCATTGCCCTCTAAGAAAGAAAAATGAAGATATATAACCATCATTTGGAGGGGTGGTTGGGAAATGCATAGAACGCGTCCCCCATAGGGACCAGTATGAGCAACCCACCCACAGCCCACCATTTCAGAGACCTCTCTCTTGCCTCCCACCTCCCATTGACCTCTTCTCCAGATGGCTCATCAAAACGACCCCAACTTGAATTGTTAAGGAAGGCATTCATTCCCCAGAGAGAAAGCATCTGCTTCCCGGCATTAGGCTGGTGCTGCCCACCTGATTTACAAAATAGAAAACAAAATCTTGGTTCTATCAGAGCCTGCTGTGATACGAGACAAGCATAAGAGCAATTTGGCAGTTCTCAGGTGGAACCATAATGATTTGAGCCTACGTTTTTCAGCCTTACCCAAAAAAAGTCTGTCTTCCCTCCAATTTCAGTCTCACCTGTCACCCGTGCTGAGATGCCACCTTAGGAACCAACCTTGCAGGCAGCTGATCTGTGGGTTCCCCTCACCACACACACTGCTCTCTTCCCCCAAGGACCCCAGCTCTGGCAAACTTAAAGCCTTCACATCTCTTGCTGGAAACCCCAACCATTCCCCCATGCTCCCTCAGGGAGCATCCCTTAACAAAAAACCCTTAGCGAAGTCTCTGCCTCTAGCAAAGCCCAAGCAGCCCCACCCCACCCTGAAAGAAAACAGGTTAGTCTCTTTTCGTTGCTTTTCCGTCCCCGGACACCTTTCCCAGTCCCTAGCATCTCAGGCCTCCTGCCATCAAATCCCTCACTTCAGCATAGCTGCATTGCCCAAAAAAGTATGAATGAGAGAAAGGTGATCCAAACATACAGCTCAACCTAGAGGTGACTGGAGGCAGCTGATGACCGCTCCTCACCCAGGAGTTGCTGCTGCAGAGAGAGGACCCAAAGCCAAGGCAAGGAAACAGCTGAAGCGGGCAGCTGATGCTGGGCACCACAGAGCGGGAGACAGCTGAGAGGGAGGCTGAGCAAGTAGGGAGATCCCAGGCCTAGAGGCACTCGGGCAAGGGAGTGATTGGACACTGCAAGGCAGCAAAGCGGGGAGGGGCAAGGTGAGCGGGACAGAGTGGGAGGGTGGGAAGCACACTCACTCCCTGGCCCTGGGGTCAGCAGGTTCCCACGGTGGCCAGCAGCAGTCACAGGAGACGCAGCCTCCAGGAACTGTGGTCTGACCGCTCCTCCTTTTCAGCCAGCAGTAAAAGGAAAGGCCAGGCAAACGCTTAGGGATTTCAGGCAAATCAAGAAGTCAAGAAGGGCGGAGGGTGAGGGAGGGGGAGAGGAGTGTTAAGCAACTGTCTGGGTCCAAAGTTCACTGGCCCTTCACATCTGCAAAAGGGGCGGCTAGGAGATCTTGGCTCAGCACTTTCTGTAATAAGAAGGCGTGCTCTCAGGAATCTCCTTTGTCAGCTCTGCTCCACGACTGAGGGCCCAGAAAAGGACGGTAAGCTGGGTGCAGTTTCTGTCGCCTTGGGGAAGCTATCCCCAAGCAAATTAACTGAGGACAGGGCAGTGGCTGAGAAAGAATGCAAAGCCCTCTCTCTCTGTCCTCCAGGCCCCACCCTAGCCCACTTCTTTCTTCCCCCCAAACAAGAAAGGCAGGAAGGTTGCAGACAAAGGCTCGTTCACCGGCTATAGAGGAAGTGTAATTGCTGTCCCTACACCTCGTGATTGGGCCTCCTAAGAGAATAACCCTGACACTTCCCCACACAGAGTGTGGGGTGGCTACCCCTAACCTGGGGCCATTACCCCAAGGCTGAGCCTCAAGCTACTTCCAAGGAAACAAGGTTAAGAAATGAGACTCAAGCCTCTGGCTGCATCCCCACCCCACTCACAGGCCCTTTCATCCTTAAGAAAACATACCAGGATTTTTGGAGTAAGCATAAATTACAAGTTTACTCCAATTTCCTAAAAATATTGGGAATAAGATTTCACTGGGCTATCCTGGACAGACAGGCCTAGAACAAAGGAAGATGAGCATTTTTTGGAAATCACATAGGTTATTCTATCTTTATAGTCTACTTAAATCTGGTATTCCGGGTCTCTTTTACCAACAGAAATACACCCTATCCATTCTGAAATCCAACTGTCTGTCTCTTCTCACACTCTTTCTAACCCTCTTTGGTTATTCTACAACCAGACAATGAAGATCTAAAAATCCCCAGGGGCCTTATCTCTACCCTACATCCTCCCATTCTAGCCCCTTAAACTTTTTTTAAATGAAGCGAGGGATCCTGGTGCTAGCCTTCCCAGAGATCATGCTTCTCCCAAGTGACTCTCATAAATGTCTGAAACCCATCCAGAAGAGACTGTCCTTTTCTCCCAGCTCCCCCCAAATGCTCGTATAATGATAATAGCTGTCATTTATTGAGCACTTACCCGGGCCACACACACTGCTAAGCACCTAAATGCCTTATCTCATTCAATCCTCCCTGCAGCCCCTTAAGGCAGGCAGTAAGTCACGTGCCAGGGTCCAACCTAGGAGGGAGGCGGGGAGGCTCGCCAACAGAGCCCAACCTCTGAACTGCACTGTGCTCTCTTCCCAACCTCCCCACCCTTCCAACCTGCCCTGGCTCTAGGCTTTCCTCTCAGACAGGAAAGCACTTCAGATGGCTCCCTAATGAATTACCTGGGGCAGGGCGTGATTAGATTAAAAAGAAAGCTTGTGTCCTTCACCCTGAAGCCTAGGCTAAAGGCTCCAGCCGAGCCCATCCATCTCCTTCCTGGCTGCTCCTCCCCTTTCTCATCCCTTTGCAGGGATGAGAGGCGATTACAAGACCTCTTGGCAGCGCTGCTATTGCTAGGGTGCTCACTTCTAAAGCAAACAAAAACACACGGAAATACATCATCACGCCTGCCCTTTTAAGACCAAATTCACCGGCACCAAGGGGTGGGCATGTGTCGTAATGGGATGTAAAGAAAAGGAATGAAGGAGGGACGAAGGAAGGGGAAACCGTGAGGGGAAGTGGGGAGAGAAGTGTGCAGGGCTTAGTTCCTGGCTGGTAGTATCTGAAAGTAAAGTCCTTCTCACCGAGTCTTGAGACAGAAACCCACTGAGGGTGACACCCACACTCCAGCAAACAGCATACCCTAGCGGTCTCACCAGGAAGTGCTACCAGTGGACTCTTCCTAGCCTACTCTTCAGTCAGCCCATGCAAACTGGGCAAGGGGAGGCTGTCCTTCAAAGAAAAGGTGCCCCCTCTTTTCTCAACCACTGCCGAGCACCAGCGTTCGTGGGCAGGAAGGCACAGTCTTTGGCAGCTCACATTCTACCCTGAGACCCTGGCTCTCGGGGTAATGCTTCCACCATTCTGGCAGCCTGGGACCAGTAGGACCTCTCCTGAAGGGCTCTCTCACCCCAGGGTTTACAGGAGAGCCTTGCAGAGTCTGGAATCCCGGGAGATAACAGCGTTCCTGATACACAGCACCCCTGTCGTCTTCCTATCTGAGTTGCATTCATCTCTGAGGACCCAGTGGAGGTTACAAGACAACACATTCATCCTACAGCCTGTGGGAGAAGTTTCAGATTCAGAGGTTCCGGGAACGCAGGTAGCAGGGCCCCCAGCATGCGGTGCCTGGCACAGCAGCCAGTGGAGCTCCTTGCCCTGACTCCACCCGTGAATGGCAACACCAAAACACACTTCCTCCAGGAACCAGCACACAATTCAGGGTCCTGGCCCCTCAGTCAAGCTCAGGGAGCTAAATGTGAGAAGACACTTTCTCCCCCAGAGACCCTATGTCCTGCCTTCCTAGCTCCAACTGGTCTGTGCTGCCTTCTCTAACAACAGAAACGGAAAACACCCTGGTACAGCTAGATTCCCCCATCACCCCAAGCTAGAAGCTCAGCTCCTCCCTCCCCAGTTCTCCACCATTCGTTTTTCTTTATTCCACCGTGGCTACAACAGTCCCTTTATTTGGGGGAAAAAAAAAAAAGTGAAACAAGAAATTGTTTACTCCTATGGTCAGGGCTTCCATTAACGTAGGGCTGAAGTCTCTAGGCAGAGGGCTCTGCCTCGGGAGGGCTGGGGCTGGGACTATGAAACAAGAGGCTCTTGGGTCTCCCTTCAGCCAATTTTCAAGACTCTCACTCCATCCTCCTTCTACACTTCCCCTCTCACCCACTGGCCCTCCTCTCCCATCTCTTACCTGTCCTGTGACCTTTGGGCAGGTGCGAGGAGGAGGGGCTACCAGCACGCTGGGGTTTGGGGGGGGAGGCAGGTGCTAGGAAGGGGAACCCGGGTATGGCTCGAGCTGCAGCAGCTGTTGACTCTGAGGAACAGAAAAGGCAGAGGGTGACGGGGACCGAAATGGAAAACAGGAAAACACATGTGTGACTCTGGCCGGCAGCGGGGAGGGGCCAAGGGACGGGCTCAAGCTGGGACCGCCTGGTTAGACAGACCCAGAGGACCCAGAGGACCTCGACGCCTGCCTGCCTCTAGGCACCTTCTCCACTCTGAGTCTCAGCTCCTCCTCTTCCCTACCTCAGCCCTGAATGTCCTTGTTGCCCCACATTTACAGAGCACTTAAGCTCTCCCAGCGACTCACAGTGCCCTCCTGATGCCCTTTACAACTCCCCTCTCCCCCTCACTCTATTTCCTACTCATCTCCCGCTCACATACTGTCCTTGGTCCTGCGGAGGGCATAGGATCCACGGTTAGGGCAAAGGAACTGTGTGGTCCCATCTCAAGAGACTCAGTACCATTTCAGTCCCTATGTAAAGCAACGCATGCCAAGGAAGGTAACACATGCCAAGGAAGGCCACTTGTCGCACGCAGTACAGCCAAGCACACACCAGAATCCTAAGCAAGCCAACTCACAGCTCAGGTCCCCAGTTGGTTCAGGTGATGTGTGGGTTGCCAGGTAAGAGCCAGCCAAGGGGACTAGAGCAAGCCCTGGCATCCTGGGCAAGCTAACGAGTTGGCAGCCCTTCAAACCAGGATTATTTAAATGTCTGTTGAATGTTTACTTAGTAGAGGTAGGGGAATACCGATTTTCTCTCGGAATAAAAACCGTAAGCCTCATTCTTTTATTCAAAATTAGAGCTTATTACATGGATTCATTTCATGCAATTTTCTGAAGCTGACAATTCCTTGGTAGGCATATTAAACCATTTAAAATATAGAACATAGCATAAATCTCTCTGAAGGAGTGGCACTTCACAGTGCATGGTGCATTTTCAGAATTCCAGCTATGACTGCTGCCTTTAGGCAACTACCAGCTGGCTGGTCTCAGGGCTACACCTCGCCACTTGTACCTGTACCTGCACACTGCACAATTATTCCAGAGACAGGTGGTCCAGGATTCTGTCAGTGGATGGGAGCCAACTTACTATGTCACCAAGAGATGGAGACAGAAAGCAGAGTTCACTGGCACCAAACATCTGAATTATTCCAAAGATCATTTAGTGCCCTTTTAGACCCAGGCTGCTGCCCAGCTGGCGTGTCCCTTAATCCTATTCTGGGGTCAGGTCCAAGTTGTCAAAGGGAAGTCCTAGGAAGACAGCCCTTAAACTGCCCCTGTTGGCATGGCCCCTGTTCTCTCACTCCACTCCAGCCACACTGGCCTCCTTGCTGTCCGCCACCCAACAAGCACACTCCCACCTCAGAGCTTTTGTAAGTGCTGTTCTCTCTGCCTGAAACATACATCCCCTTGATATTGTTCATTCCTTCACTCACTCCACTCCGGTCTGTGCTTAAATACCACCCTGTCAGAGGCCTTCCCTGAGGAGTCTCTGAAGGAGCAACTTCTCCCCTCGGTCAATCTCCATCCCTTCACCATGCTTGACTCTTCTCCAAGGGCACTTACTGCCACCCAAGTTTGTTTGCTGTCACCTCCCCCACTAGAATGCAAGCACCTGGAGCTTTATTCTCCCCGCTACAGTGCAGCACACAGTGGACAGTCAAGAAATGTTTGCTGGAAGAATAAAGGAATGAATGAACAATGCTGTTCCTCCTAGATTGATTTCCCAGCTAGCTGGGCTCCTGGAACGTTTTTGAACTTGCCTTCAGGCCCACCTATGGGGTTGCTGCTCTGGCTTCTACAGAAAGAGTATTGGGAGGTATTTCTTCTTTTTGACAGTAATGGGTTGAAGGGAGGAGGAGGGTATAATTTTCACAGTTTTACTAGGAGGCCTAGAACGGTTTGAAATGGACTTTTTGTTTCATTAATGGGAAAACAAAGACAAAAAGCCCCTCACCTAATAAGCTCTTGGCTGCTCCGTCCCACACCCAGGCTCTGGTGACCGGTCTGGGTACAGCGAGAGCAAGGGCCTATGGCCGCGAAGGGGCGAAAGGGCAGAGGAGACGGCAGAGGGGGGCGAGCGCTCAGATTCACGCAAATGCAGGTGGGTTCAAGAAGAGTGGAACCCTAAACCCTTAAGCGTGAACTCCCCGGAACACCACCACCCCCTCAGTTCTGCCCTCCCCTGCGATCCTCCCCCGCCTCCCTACACCCCCCGCCCACCCCGCTCCCCGCGCTCACCTTTGCCCCTTTCTCCCACACTCCCCAACCCCCACGCTCGCCTTCCCAGGCCGGCCCCTTTACGTCGCCCGGCCATTTCTCGTCATTTCCCTCTTTGGGGCTCCGGTTCCGTGTCTGCGGCCCGAAGATCTCGCCTTCCCAAACCCAGACCCACCCACCGCCCGCCCTCAATGCCCCTCTGAAGATTTCGGTCACCCCTGATGTCCAGTCAGCCTGCGGAGGCCGAACCAGGCTCTGCCTTGTGGGACCAGGACCCCACGGCACCCGGCGCCCCTTCCGTTCCCTCCACCTGGCCGAGCAGCCCCGCCCCTCCCCGCTCCAGGAAACAGAGGAGGAGGCTGTGGCGGGTGCAGGCGAAGGGCGCAAAGGTCCCAGAACCGAGAGGCCCGGCAACCCGCTCCCCTGCCCTCTCCTGCTCTGGCACGGCTGCGCTGCCCCGGGGAAATGAAAATGACTGCGGATACCCTGAGATGAGTCCTCCGCCCCAGGAACGCTCAGCTTCCTCTTCCCTCCCTCCCAATCCAGCTCGAGCTGGCGGCCCGACGGGGGTCTGGGCGAGAGCCCCAAACCCTGGCAACCTCGCCTACAGCCCCAGACGCTTGGCTGAAACTCGGGAGGGACTCTGGACTGCAAAGCCCCGCGGGGGAGGGGGAGGGAGCGGCGCCCGCTTGGAGCCAGGGGAGGGGTCTCCCGGAAGGGCGTCTCCTCCACTCGGGGTTCTCAACTCCCCGCCCCCTCGGGGGAGCTGTTGCATCAGCTTCGAGATTCCAAGTTAAAGAAAGTGGTCTCCTTCCATCGGGCCGGGAAGGTGTCGGGCAGTAGAGCCGCCGCCAGGAGGCAGCACGTAACCAAATATGTCCGGGCAGAGTGTTGCCTGGGAGGCTAGACTTCCCCAAGCACCTTTCTTCTGAAGACTGTAGTGGCAGCGTGGACCCGACAAAGGAGGGAGTTACCGGGCTCGTTCAAGAAAACGGATCTGGAAGGATCTGGAAATGCTTCACCACGTTCTAAGACTAAAAGATGACTTGTAAATAATACAATTTCCTTTTGTATACCTTTTGGACAGTCCAGCTTTGGCATTTTTTTTAAAGCCAACATTGCCACTCTGCAGAGATTCACAGAGAGCCACCCACCTTCAAGAGGAATCTGGTGGAAACGCATACAGCTTAAGAGACTTCCCAGCCGCCAGGCAAGAAAAAAGAGTGTAGCCTGAGGTCATAATTTACCCATCTTGAAGCTGGGGTCACTTAACACAGAATTTAGCCTATACTGATTTGGCAGAGATTTGACAGCCATGGGAAAAGAAAAGGAATATGTTACAATAAATTATGTAAGTAATAAGGAAATAATGTGCAAAGCAATGTACTGTGTGAGAGGGTGTTTTATAGCCTTCAATTCACACACTTCTTGCATGGGGGTGACAGTGATTTGATTCTTTAACTGTCCTAAGGAGGAAGATAATGAAGGAACATGAAATAAGACACTTCCCAAATAGTTCGCTCTTCTTCAACCTTACAATTTGGTCACGAGCACGCAAAAAGGGGAAGAGGTTGCAAAATGACGTGGGTTTGGCTCCCAGAGTCAGCTTCACTTATGTTCTTTCTCCAATGTCATCATTATTCATCACAATGGTTAAAAAAGGACCTAATTTCCCAGAGAAGTGCGCTTGTACCAAACTTACTGTATACCTGACAGACCTGACAGAAAGATATTGGAATAAACATACTGGACAAAAACATAAGTGGATCACAAAATGTTAAAGCGAAATAGAAGCCGTGATGCCCGTGAGAGGCGAGGGAATTCAAGAGGAAAGACATGAAGCTCAGATTCCTTATGCTTCACATTGCTCTTAGCTCTTAACTCCAGTCTTTGCCAGATGAAGTCCAGAGGTTGAAACACATCTAGTTTGGGATGATGAAGCTGCTTTCCTGCGGCTTATGAGTCTGATGAAGTCATTGAGGAGTGCTGTCCAAGTGCCAGACACCCTCCCTTGCAACAGTGTTCCATGAGGTCCCTGAGAATGCTGATGATGTTAGCTGTCAGCACTAGTGTTCTCTTTCCCTCTCTCTCTCAAAATCTTAACCCATATTTCCTGCTATTTACAACCCATGGATTGTCCCCCTGCCACATCACACTAACCACGTCAAAGGCTGAACTTGTCTTCCTTCCAAAGACCTTTCTCCTCCCAGATTTCCCAGTCTTCCTGATCAAACTTCCCATCCTGCCCCCAAAGTCCTCCAGGTCTGGCTCCTTGACTCCCACAGCTATTAAATTATTGCATGTGTTCACTTCTGCACGTGGAGTTCATATCGTCCACATTATTTGGTCACCTTAGTGCATGTTCCGTTTTTTATGATTTTGCAAATCAATGGTATCCCCCTAGTGTGTGAGCTACTAGAAGACAGGAGTGTTGCTGGTTCAATTCCTTTATACAGTGTTAGTGGTAGTGCCAGCCTATCATCTTTCCTGTCAATCTTGAATGTTGACGCTGAGGTTATTTTTCCAATCCTTGGCTTCAACCACTAGATTCCTCAACTGTAAACTATGTAATGGGATCCAATGCTGTCTACCTCAGCTGTCTATCTCAGAACCAACCAAAGGCACATGAAGCCAGGCTTGGGAAAGGTGTCACTCAATAATTATTGAAATTGTAAAACAATAAATCCACGGCCACATTTTGTTTCAATTTCCTGATCTCAGAAAACTACAAGCCATCTGTACAATGATTGCTTCCTGGACTGTCTTATCTACTTCATAGGTTTATTATGAAAATTATATGAAAACATTTATATAGAAGTGTCTTGTTTTGATAAGTGAAAATGAAAAGCATGAATGTAAGGTGGTAATGGTACTCTATTGTCTTATTTCCCTGGCTTAGTTTTTTGGAGCCATCTGCTGGCTTATAGCCAAGGTTCTTTTATTCCCATCCCTTCTGGTTCAGCCTTAGCCTATACCACTCTTTTTTTTTTTTTTTTTTAATAATTTTATTTATTTATTTTTCACCCAAAGCCCCAGTACATAGTTGTATGTCATAGTTGCACATCCTTCCAGTTGCTGTATGTGGGAC